AGCAAGTGAATAATGGCGTTCTTATCAAAAGTTCTCTACTGTAATTCTGCTGGACTCCCGTTTCTTATGTTTATTCCGTGTAATGCCTCTAACCCATGCACTTTCTAACTGGTAATATTTCACCAAGAATAATTTAGAATTACAGCAAAGCCACTTCCTGATTCCTGACTTTCAGAAACAGTATGACAGAATAAATATTTGCAGTTAACAAGTGTTACTTGGAGGTGATTATTATTGTTGTCATTATGGACAAAAAAAATTAATAAATTTTGTTTCTCGTCTCAAAAGGTGGGGAGGTAAGGAAAAACCAGCGAGTGAGTGTCATACAATACATGATGAAATCTTACAATACAAGCTAGATTTTTAGAACAATAGAGTTATGTACAAACTGCGATGGGATCACAGTGGGGGGAATGATTAATTTCGCAGGTAAGGATGCAGGGACTAGGTTGGGACTTGAAGGTAAGGTAGAATTTCCCCAAGACATATAAGGAACAACATGTACGAAGAACATGATGGATCCTGGGAACATTCATTCATTCATTTATCTATCCAATAAATATTTATTTAGCACCTTATTGTGTCAGGCACTGTGCCAATGATGGAAAAAAAAAATCCCACCACCATTCCACCTTCACGGAGCTTATCATCTAATGGGAGAGATAATAGACAAGAAAATACTTATGTAAGTAGAAGCAGCAATAAGTGCTACAAAGGAAGAAAGCAGGATAAAGAGGAAGAAGATGACAAGAGAAACCTGCTTACACTGGTTGGGTAAGGAGGGTTTCTAGGAAGAGTCAATGGATAGACTCTCAGGTCTCAACGCTCAGACCTAATGGATAAGAAGAAAAAGATATGCAAAAACAGTGAGGAGAGTCATCCATGGCACAGGACTACATACATACAGACCCTGAGAAGAGTGTGATGCATCTGGACTGTAGGGCATGGGATGTGAATGTTGAGCTATTAGGAAAAGGGTTTTATATGATTTGGTGTATTTCAGCTAATTTTTCAAAAGGATTAATTATCTGAGGCAGGTAAATGATTCCCTATCCATGTTGTCTGATCATATTTTGTCCCATTACTTATTCTGCCATCGCATCATCTGCCCGCCACTGAGCTTGAGACAAAGACCTGAGAAGGCATCAGAGCTCTTACAACATACATTCAGAGCATGGAATGGTAAGGGCAGGAGGTACTAGATCTGGGAATCACCAGATGAGACCATTTAGAGAAAGGCTATGTAAATTATCTCTCCATCATGACAAAAATCGAAAATATGACATTGTTGGCATTGTTGCCAAGCAGGTAATAGTGAGAAAACAGAGACTGCTGGATGGAAAACTAGAGACACTCGTTATGCTCTGATCAAACATTGGGCAAACCGGTCACCCACAGCAGCTCCGGAGGCAGGCCCGCAGCACTGGGGAAGGTAATAAGGAAAAAGCAGTGATGAGTGCATTGGCAGCTTCTGGCTGTCTTTTTTGGTAAAGTACCAAGGAAAATAGTTGAGTGAGACAAGAAGAACTAGTCTACGAGGAGGGCAACACAGCATTGTTATAGGAGTTGTGCCTACGTCCTGCAGCCCATGGTTTCTGGACCCCAAACAGCAGGAAATGATCATGCAGAACCTTTCTCAAGGGTCTCCATTAACTAACATTGGCCAGGCAATGGCAGTAGCTCAACAGAAGAGATCAGATACAGGGCGTGGCAGACCCACCTCAACTCATTCCAGAAAGCCTCAATGTGCCTGCCATTAAACTGAGGATTAGAAGTACAACCAGAGACTAAAATGCTGTTGACTTAAGAACTATTGACAAGAGCAGACTTTGCGTGTGGTTATTACACAGAACTAACTGGAAGCAAATAGAACAGAAACCTACTGTATTTGTGATGAAATTTCATCACTTATGTTGTTGGCACCCCTGAGATGGACCTGCTAATCCAAAATTTGGTTTGGATGTCAAGACTAATAATCACACACACATCGAGAGGGTACGAAAAGGTTTATTATTCATGTGTTTGTGGGGAGAGCAGGGCAGTCCCCTCCCAGGTCCAAAAAACGAATTGACTGGTTGGGCTTTTATTGTTCTTAGGGTGTGAGGCTGGAGAAAGGGTTCCTGCTTTCAGGCCAGGCTTGTGTGGTCTGAACTTCCCACTGGGCCAAAGAAGGAGGCCTCCAGCCTTTCTAAGCAGCTTGCCCAGAAGTGGAACATAGAGGGTAGGAGGTATAAGGAGGCACGAGAGCTGTTGGCAGTCACACATTAAAAAATGGAGTCAACCTCTTTATCACAGCCAAATAAATTATAATCCTGGTCAATATAAGCCTACGATTGTTCAATACCTAAGGAACCCTAGTATGCACCAGCAACAGGAGTCTGAAAAAGCTGTGATAAACCCCAAAAGTTTCAGATGTGGATGTGAGTTTGATGAGCAAGAATTTCCTAGAGGTAGAACTGGGACCCCAGAGGACAAAGGACAAGTTTTTCCAAGAGAGCAGATTCAAGGTTTAACCAAGGACCTTACTTCCTGCTAGGGCAAAGGATCTTTGTAAGCCCTGCTCAGGCTTTCATCATGGTGTGGGGCATTGACAACTAACCATCATTCCTGTCCTTTACTTTAGTAGTCTTGGGTGCCTGGGTGGCTCATTCAGTTAAGCATCTGCCTTTGGCTCAGGTCATGATCTCAGGGTCCTGGGATCGAGCCCTGCATCGGCCTCCTTGCTGGGCTGGGGAGTCTGTTTCTCCCTCAGCCCCTCCCCTTGGTTGTAGAATTGCTCTCTCTTTCAAATAAACAAACAAACAAACAAAATGTTTAGAGGTCTTTCTTCCCCTTTCCTTTTAGAAACAGAACTCTTCCCCTGGAGATTTAGTGGAACATATGCCCATCTAGCGCAAGAGAACATGTCCCCGTCTCCCTTGAAGCTAGGTATAGCTATGTGGTAAGTACTCACGAATAACTGAGTGAAAGCGATGGGTGAAATTTCCTTAAAAAGAAATAGCTTGCTCCCAACTTCCTCTCTTTCCCAGGCTGCAAAGTGGGTGTGATTCTTTGAGCCAATTTTGACCGTGGAATGAACACCAGCCTTGGTAATAAAAGAACAGCAAGATAGATGAATCCTGAGGCCCTCCATTACCATCTGAAATGGAGCTGCCCGGCCCACCCTGGACTTCCCTGCCCCCTCTGGACTGCTGTGTGGGGAAGAAAGAACGTCTTCCACGAGCCGCCATATTTTGGGGTTTCTGTGACAGCAGCTTCGACCATTTCCTCACTTGGGCAAAAAAAAGTGAATTAAAGCATTAAGAAGTCAGGATTCTTTACCTTTTTCTGATCTTAAAAATGGCCTTTCCTTATTCCTCTGGATTTTAGCTTTAAGGACAAGTATAAAGAGACTCAAACTTAACTAGCTAGAATCAAGTAAGACCTTAAAGCTACAGGTGACCTCAGGAATTCAGCGTGTTTCTCCTCTTTTCCAAAAGCCAACATACAGGATACAGGATACAGGTATGTATACTCCTTGAGTCAAAAGAGGCCTTCCTTAACATAAACCTATGAGTGTTCACATCGATACATGAAAACTCAGATCAGTAGACATCCATTTCCCTTTTTCCCAACACATCACATATATCCCTGCACTATTTTTATCTATTCTCTGTAATTAATTAATCAGAGGTTATTGGATTAAGATATAATGGCTAGAGTAGACTTCCTCTCCCACCATGTGGTGCAAAGATGATGATATTCTCAGGTTCCCATTCTCAAGTAACAGTGTTTCCTAAGGGCTCACAGTGTTGCTAAGACAACGGGGACGCTGCAAGAGAAAGCTGGCACTGAAGTAGAGGGACCGAAGCCACCTGAAAGGTCGTCATCGACAGCGTGCTCAAGGCCTTTTTCACAGGGCAGCTTGTAACACTAGGTTAGAAAAAAGGATCATACTCGTCCAGCACCCTTCCATAGGAGACTAGGGCGCTCTTAGTGACTTGTGTTCTAAAATTAAGGAAGCAGCAGGATGTGAATGAAAAGTCAGGAGATTGTCATCCCACTAATATGTCTTTCTTAGAGCCCTGAGCAAGTGCTGTCCTTAAGTTGCCTTTATTCTAACAGAAGCATGTTTGAAGACTAAGAGAAGAAATCGGGTTGTCAGTTGTTCCTTCACTAAAAGTGGACCTCTCCTCTAACAGAGGTTTGATTCTACCTGGTGAATACTTGGGTTGGTGTATTCATGGAGACCCGGGACTGATGTTTGGAATCTGAGTTTATGGACAGACAGAAAGCAGTATGGTTTCTTCCATGAACTTCTGAGAAAGGCGCAAGAAGCTCAGGGATGGCAGGGGCGGCCACTGGGGTAAGTCTCCGGGTCCGGCCAAGCCAACTGACCCTACTGCAGCGACGTTCTTGTTTTAATACTGACAACATCAAGGGCGAGAACAAAGAAAATAAAAACAAAATACTTAAACGGATTTTGAATATTTTTTTCTGGCCTCAAAGAAGAAAGGAACAAAAGCAGCAGCTGAAAAGTTAAGTGTCCTTCACATCATGTACATTCAGCTGCGCCGAGAGAAAAATCCATCAAACACAACAGGGACACGGGACTAAAGGGGCACAGAACTAGGGAAGACCTTGTTCACAATCATCTCTCTCTCTCTCTCTCTCTCTTAAGAAATAATCGGGTGACAAATAATGGGGAGCCAAAGGCAAGTGTTGGAGGAGAGGTTTTTCCCTATCTTTGAGGATCCCTTGATGAAGAGTCATGGAAATGACTGAAGACTGAGTTGGCAGTGCACTTCTCATTTTTCAAGCAGGAGTCAAAAGGTAGTCTTTAACAGTGGGAAGTGGGGATCATATTGTGAGGTCAAGACTTGTGCGGGGTTCCTTATCTCTAAGTACAAGCTGAATCTAGCAGAATCAAATGAAGCCCACGAGACCCTTTTTTTAAACCCTGGTGATCCAAGCATAAAAAAAGGAAATAAAAACAAAACAAAACAAAACAAAAAACCAAACCACGGACCACTCTATTTTAATATTTTTAGGCAGCATAAATCATAATGGTTTGTATACTACACTGTACAATTATATACTGTTACTTTTCAAAGAAAATTAACTTCTTATAGAGTTTTCTGAAATGGTTACTCCATTAGGTTAAGAGCTTGACCCCTTAGCCATCGCTACGACACATGGCATACAATCTATGCGGTCCCGAGTCTTCCAGCTGTGCCTGTTTCCGCTGCCATCGAGGCTGGAGCCTCTCGGAGACCTCGCATAGCCCCTTCCATCTCCTGCGCCAGGAAGCAGGCTCTGCAGGGAGATGTGTGCCGATGGGTGCAGCTTCTGGGCTTGGCTTCCCACGAGCCTTCTCCCCTCTATGAGAACTTGCGCTTCTTCATGGCTTCTGCTTTCACTGCCAGGCTCTTGGCACAGATGGTCAGGACCACAATGAGAACACCCACCACAAATGTCACCACGGGCCAGAGGAAGCAATGCAGGAGGACAATCTCATCATGCGTGCGATGCAGGAGCACATCATCTGGTCTGCAAGACAGTGGAGAATGGGAAAGAAAGAAAGAGGGGTCAACTGCCTTGGCACGGCATAACTCTGCAACCTGGAGCCCAACTTTCTTTCTAGCCCAAAGGGAACAATCATCACTGAAAGTGAAGACCTCGCTCTGGCTATAAATACTGTACTTTGAGGTTCAGATCCATGACGGAAAGTTCGGAGGTCTTGAATCAAGCCATGGGTGCAAATTCACATATTATTTTATAAGATAATTTACACGTTGTGAAAGGTCAAAAGTGTAGCAATCTTTTACATTATTATTTTCCTCCATTCTAAGTTGCTGAACATATTCCATTTTCTCACTCACCCTTTAATGTCTGCTGGTCAAAGTGGCGTGAATCAGTTACTTGTGGGTTGACACTCTCAAACCCAAATTAGACCTCGGCAGGACCCAAATGATTATAATTCACAAAAAGAGTCAGTGAAAGTCACTGTTTGAATCTCATCAGAAAGATCTATCGTGTAGCCTTCAGGTCAACTCAACTCCTTCATGGGAAGGTTTTTATTAATGAACAGACAAGTGAATGGTTAGATTTAATGCATTTTTCCATGCTTCTGTGGGGGGCGGGGAGGATTAGCCCTCATTTTAAACCACTGACCACTTTCTTAATAAAGTTTTGCAAAGTCTTAGCAATGTATTTCTATCTTATCAATGCAGGGCTCTATTTTCAATTCCAGCACTGGTCTCCTTCTCAGGAAGTGAAGATGAGATGCATTCCATAAGCCATGATCTCTCATCTTCAGCCATTAGAGAGAGCCTGGGAATTCAGCCTTCATACAAAAGGTTTACTTTTTGCAAGCCATTTCCATGTCATCCCCAGGAAGGTTTGTTCTATTATACCAGAGCAGCAGTGCTTCCTCCAGGCAAGGAAGAAGATGATGCGGAATGATTAGTTCAGTTGCCCTCAAGAACATCAGAAGCTTTAGAGTACAAGGGCAGTGCATTTAGCAAAGAAATGCATTCTTGAGGAGCTCTCACTAATCATCACTGTCATAATGCAAAACCTATTCTTCCAGAAGACTGACAAAGAATGTTGGATATTTCTCTTCTATCTATAATGCAGCCATCACATGGCGCTAACAAAAAGTTTTGCAGATTCACTTTGGAATTACAAAATCCTTGCCTTTTTTGTGCATCATTTCGGATTTTGCCCATATTTTTACTGATATTTTATTTCATATGATTTCTTGGTTTTTTTTTAAGATTTTATTTATTTATTTGACAGAGATCACAAGGAGGCAGAGAGGCAGGCAGAGAGAGGGGGGGTGGAAGCAGGCTCCCTGCTGAGCGGAGAGCCGGATGTGGGGCTCAATCTCAGGACCTGGGGATCATGACCTGAGCTGAAGGCAGAGGCTTTAACCCACTGAGCCACCCAGGCGCCCCTATTTCATATAATTTCAATTAAAATCCGTACTAAACGAATGCAGAGCCATTTTAACAGTTAAACCAAAAGCATCCCAGCTTGCAGAAGTTATTCTTTTTTCTGAATTCCTGTAGCAACCCACTGTCTTCAAGACTTGTACTATCATTCATTTGTGATATATTTTAATACAACTTCATTTTCTCTTGTAAGCCCCTTGACTTCATCATTGCCCATTATTCTACAGAGAGATGTTGCTAAATAACCACTTGCTCTTGATGATGGGAAACTGTCCCTATTGCAGCTTGTTATCTATGCAAAATTTCAAAAAACTTCAAGCTCTAGGTCCAAATATAGTTAGGGTACAATATAGTTGAGGTCATATTTTATAGTCTTTGAAATCCCAACCTCTGACCCTGCTGCAATTCTTTTCCTAGCTACAAGAACTCAAAACTGTCAGCTGCCTTAACCCAAGTGTGCAAAGGAGAGTAAAAGCTGTCTTGGTTTCAGATGTTACATTTGGGTCTTTAATCCATTTTGAGCTTATTTTATTTTTTTTTTAATATTTTTATTTATTCATTTGACAGACAGAGATTACAAGTAGACAGAGAGGCAGACAGAGAGAGAGAGGGAGGGGGAAGCAGGCTCTCTGCTGAGCAGAGAGCCCGATGCGGGGCTCGATCCCAGAACGCCGAGATCATGACCTGAGCCGAAGGCAGAGGCTTTAACCCACTGAGCCACCCAGGCGCCCCGCATTTTGAGTTTATTTTTATGTGTGGTGTAAAAAAAGGGTCCGGTTTCCTTCTTTGGCATGTAGTTGTCCAGGTTTCCCAGCACTATTTATTGAAGAGACTTTTGCTCATTGCATATTTCCTCTTTTGCCATAGATTAATTGACAATAAGATTATTTCTCGCCTCTCTCTTCTCTTTCATTGACCCTTGTGTCTATTATTGAGCCAGTACCATACGGTTTTGATTAGTATAGCTTTGTAGTATAGCACACATCCTGAAATCTGGAATCGCGATACTTCCAGCTTTATTCTGGATTTCTTTTTATTTTTTTTATTTTTAAAATTTTTTTTAAAAATGATTTTATTTGTTTTTGGACAGAGAGAGAATGATCACAAGTAGGCAGAGAGGCAGGCGGTGGTGGGGGTGGGGAGAAGTAGGCCCCTTGCTGAGGAGAGAGCCCAACATGGGGCTCGATCCCAGGACCCTGAGATCATGACCTGAGCTGAAGGCAGAGGCTTAACCCACTGAGCCACCCAGGCGCCCCTACTCTGGATTTATTAAGATTGCTTTGACTACATCAAAATAAAAAGCTTTTTGCAAAGGAAGCCATCAACAAAACAAAAAGGCAAAATACTGAATGGGAGAAGATATTTTTCAAATGGCATATTCACTAGGGCTTACTATACCAAATATATAAAGAACTTATACAAAATATGTGAAGAACTCAACACAATATTTTATATATATGTACACACACACACAAACACACACACACACACACACACAAATATTATACAGCCATAAAATATATGGGATCTTACCACTTGCAACAACGTGGATGGGTTTTATGTTAAGTGAAATAAGTGAAACAAAGACAAATACTCTATGATTTCACTTATATCTGGAATCTATAAAACAAAAAAAAGCATAAACAAAATCAGGCCTACAAACACAGAAAACAAATTGATGGTTGCCAGAGGGGAGGGGCAGGGAGGATGAGGAAAATGGGTAAAGGGGAGTAGGTGGTATAGACTTCCAGTTAGGGAATGAACAAAGGCACGGGAATGAAAGGCATAGCAGGGGGGATATATTCAATGGTATTGTAATAGTGTTGTATGGGGACAGATGGGAGCTACACTTGTGGTAAGCATAGCCTAATGTATAGAGTTTTGAATCACTGTGCTGTACATCTGAAACTAATGTAACAGCATATGTCAGCTATGCTCAAATAGAAAATAAACTGTACTATTACTAATTTTTTTAAAAAGTTGTCTTGGGATGGCCTTCCTGCCTCCCTTCCTGCCTACCCTCCATTCTCCTCCCCTTCATTCTTAAGGGCAACGGTGCACAATAATGTGAACGTACTTAATACAAGAGAACTGTACACTTACAAGTGGTTAAAATGGTAAAAAAAAAAAAAAAAAGAGGGGGGCTTGTATTCTTAACACTATTTTAATTAATTTGCATATAATTTCCATAAGTGTTTTGCAGTTAATTTTCCAGTGAAATACTTCAGTGAGTATCCTCTTTTGTGTTCCTTTTCTAGTGTTGATATTGAATCCTTTACCACAATATCATACAGTTGAGTCAGGAAAATAGATGAGCGTGGATGGATGAGGGTGGTTGAACCACTATGCATATTCTCTGAAACATTTAATTAAAAAAGGAAAGAAGGAGTGAAAATAACGGAAAATGCTGGACCCAGATATTTGTTTTATTTAGAAACTTCTTGGCATTCCACCTGCTTTAAAAGCACTTGAGGCAAAATTTTATTTTAATATTTCAAATGACAAAACATGATTCACTTGAGATAGCTATGTTGAATGTGTAATAGCTTCAAAAGCATTCTTTGAGGCAGAGATATTATATAAAAATGCTCACATTTCTTTCAAAATAATTAATGTCTGTTTCCAGTTCATACAGTTCTAAGATTTCCCCATTTTATCCTTCAATGGGAAGGAAGGGTGGCAGAATGTGCCCCCTGGCCATAAGGAATATTTTGAGCTGAAGGCAACTAAGAAGATACAAGAAAAGCTTTTAGGGCGACTGGACGGCTCACTCAGTTAAGTGGCTAACTCTTGCTTTTGGCTCATGTCATGATCTCACAGTCCTAAAATGGAGCCCTGCATTGGGCTCCGTGCTCAGCCAGGAGTCTGCTTATCTCCCTCTCTCTGCCCCTCCCCCAACTTTCACTCTCTCTCTAAAATAAATCTAAAAAGAAAGAAAGAGAGGAAGAGAAAGAAAAAAAGAAAAGAAAAAAGAAGAGGAAAAGAAAAAAGAAAAGGCAAGGCAAGGCAAGGCAAGGCAAGGCAAAGCTCTCCTATTTGCCTAAAAGCGGGACAGAAATTTTTAAAGGTTGTCCCTCTTCCTCTCTCTTCCAGGAAGGGCAAAAGTTAATCATTGGAGACAATTCTAGGCCTTAATCAGTCCAGGAATAGCATCAGATAAACTATATAACAAACTTTTCTAACTAGCTCTTACCTTCCATTAGTTCCCACCATATGTTTACCTTCCTACGATTTGCTGCCCTAGAAACTCAAAAGTCCTTTTCCTCTATCTTGTCATTTCTCTAGAAATGTACATCTTTTCCTTAAAGATGTTACATAAGCCCAGTTCCTTTTTTTTAAATTAATTTTTTTATTATTATGTTAACCGACAGAGTACATCATTAGTTTTTGATGTAGTGTTCAACAATTCATTAGTTGCATATAACACCCAGGGCTCATAACCACATGTGACCTTCTTAATGCCCATCACCCGAGTTCTAACGACCTCTCTGAGTTTCGCATCACTGAGAGCTTCCACGTGGACCCAAAATGCACTTGTTAATAAATGTCTGTTTTTCTCTTGTTAACCTGTCTTTTATCTGCCTAATTTACAGA